CTGCTGGAGGTGCTGCTGGTGGTGCTACTGGAGCCGGTACTCCTGCTGGGGGTACTTGTGCTGTCCCTGCTGTTTCTGGCGTCGCCACGCGGCCTCGACCGTACTTCGTTCCGCTCCTGCAGCAGGTTCTTGGTCTTACACCTTCTCCTGGTCCTCCTCCTCCTCCCTTAGAGGGTCCACAGCCTGTCCAGCCCCAGTCACAGCTACAGCCTGCCTCCCCTTTGCCTGCTCCTTCTCCCTACGCTGGTCCGACTGGAGGTCTTACTGAGTGTCGTGAGCCTGCGTCTCGTCCTGCGTCGCCTGTTCGTCCTGCACGCACTAGTGGTCGCGGTTCGCGTCAGCGTCCTCCTCCTGTCCCTGGCACGCACCGGATGTCACTGCGTCCGTCCACTGCTCCTCTGCGTGCCCCTTTGCCTTCTCCTCCTTCTTCCTCTCTTCCTACTCTTGCCGACCCGGAGTCGGACTCTCTTCGTGCTGCCAGTCCTACTGTCACGCGTCTCCTTGCTACTGCTGTCACTGACCCTTCTCTGGAGTCTTCTGCTGCGTCTGCCCTTGTCACTGAGCTCGTCGACTTTGCTGCACGCTGTCGTCTAGACTACGCTGCTCGTCTTGTCGCTGAGTCTGAGTCCGCCTGTCCTCCGTCCGTCGGGGGTGAGTGTGCCCTTGGCACGGACGTCCTTGAGGACAGGCAGGAGGAGTTCCAGTGCCTGGCCGCCGCTTCACCTCATCTCGCGTCTGTACTGCTAGCCCCTGAGGGAGATCCGGATGCGCTAGACATCCCGACTCCGCGCTCTTACGCGGAGGCGATAGAGGGTCCCTACTCCTCTCAGTGGCAGGCAGCTATGGATGCAGAGATGGCTTCCTGGAAGTCCACAGGCACCTACGTTGACGCTGTTCCCCCTCCTGGGGCGAACATCGTCAGTGGCATGTGGATTTTCAGGGTGAAGCGGCCGCCGGGTTCTCCGCCTGTCTTCAAGGCGCGTTACGTGGCTCGTGGCATCAGTCAGCGGCAGGGAGTTGACTACTTTCAGACCTTCTCCCCCACCCCGAAGATGACCACTCTTCGGGTACTGCTGCACGTTGCTGCTCACCGTGACTACGAGCTGCACTCTCTCGACTTCAGCACTGCTTTCTTGCAGGGCAGCCTGCACGAGGAGATCTGGCTGCGTCGCCCGCCTGGCTTCACTGGGTCTTTCCCTCCTGGTACCCAGTGGAGTCTCCGGCGCCCAGTCTACGGTCTCCGCCAGGCGCCACGTGAGTGGCACGACACACTGAGGACTACTCTGGCGGCACTTGGGGTTGCTCCTTCTACTGCCGACCCGTCGCTGTTTCTGCGCACCGACACCTCTCTGCCGCCGTTCTACATCCTCGTGTACGTCGACGACCTGGTCTTTGCCACAGCTGACACTGCTGGACTCGCCTACGTGAAGTCCGAGCTGCAGAAGAGACACACGTGCACAGACCTGGGTGAACTGTGCAGCTACCTTGGCTAGCAGATCACCTGGGACACAGCACGCCGCACCATTACCCTGACTCAGTCACACATGGTGCAGCAGGTCCTTCAGCGCTTCGGCTTCACGTACTCCTCGCCTCAGGCCACTCCTCTGCCTACTCGCCACTCGCTCTCAGCTCTGCCTTTGGATGAGTCCGTAGAGTCGAGTGGTCCGTATGCAGAGCTTGTTGGCTGCCTTATGTACCTGATGACCTGCACTCGACCTGACCTTGCATACCCTCTTGGGAGCACATGGCTCCTGGGAGACACCGACCAGAGCACATGGCTGCAGCGAAGAGGGTGTTGCGCTACTTGTGCAGCACGTCGGGCATGGGGCTAGTGCTTGGAGGGCGCAGTCCAGTGGTCCTCACTGGGCACGCGGACGCTTCTTGGGCTGACGACCAGGCTACGCAGCGGTCGTCACAGGGTTACACCTTCAGCCTTGGTTCCGGCTCTGTTTCGTGGCGGGCTACCCGCTCGTCTTCTGTTCTCGGCTCCAGTTGTGAGGCTGAGATCTACGCCGGGGCTATGGTTGCCCAGGAGCTTCGCTGGCTCACCTACCTGCTGACCGACCTTGGAGAGCCGCCTCGTTCTCCTCGAGTCCTGTGCGTAGACAACAAGGCCATGCTGGCCTTGTGTCGAGAGCAGCGACTGGAGCACAGGACAAAGCACATTGCTCTCCGCTACTTTCTTGCTCGTGAGCTACAGCAGCGTGGACAGTTGCGACTTGCGTACGTGGCCTCTGAGGCCAACACTGCTGATGTATTCACCAAGGCACTTGCGCCTTGTGATTATCAGCGTTGCTGCACGCAGCTGGGCCTTGTACCTGTCTTGCCTCACTTGCTCACTTCTTGACCTTGCTTGTACCTTGACCTATATATACTCTTGCTCTTGCTTGCTTGACTCTTGTATATCTCTATATATGGTCTTGCATGTGAACTGGCCTTATGGCCCTTGAACTTGTGCTCGGAATGTGTGGTGACTTTGTGATCCACCCTGAGCTTTACTTTGCTTTGCTTGACTGGTCTTGTGACCCCTTGTTCTCCCCCACTTTGCCTATGGGGGTGTGTCAGAATATTATAGCTTACTTATTTGTGTAGGCTATAGTGGGGTATCCCATAGGGGGTACAACCCAACTAGGGTTTCCTATTTGTACTCACTTCATTCATAGTCATTCCATCCTCGTTCACTTCTCCTCAACTGGCGCTGCAGGGAGAGAGCAGAGGAGGTGGGCAGCGGCTAGCGCCGCAGAGTCCCTCCCGCCACGCCTTCACCCTCCCCCCCACAGCAGGATGCACGGCCCAGCGGCAAAGAGCAGGAGCGGCGCGGGCACTGCTGCAGATCCCGGCCGCCATCCACTTCCGCCATCTCCCCCAACAGCAGTTTCCGCGGCAGGGCGTGCGACGAGCCCGCAGATGCGGCGGAGAATAGGGAGGGACGGTCGAGCGGGGGCAGGGCGCTGGTGGTTACTGCGGCCTGGCCGCCACACCCTTCCCCCCTTCTTCCCCCTCACAGCGACCGACGCTGCCGACGTGCAGAGCCGCGACGGGGGGGGGAAAATTTAGGGGGGCCGGACGAGGGTGCGACGGATCCGCAGCGGTCGCAACCGAGGCCGCAAACGCTCTCGCACAGCTTGCCGCCGAGATCGTTTCGACGGTCGCGACCGTTGCAACCGTCGTAACAACGGTCGCGACGGGGGGCGTGACGAGCGCCGTGAGCGGGGGGATACGTGGTGGGCCCATGGGGAAAATGAATTTAGGTCTTAGGACGAACTAGCTCTTAATACCATGTCAAAATTAGCTTGGAACCTAGGAAACTAGGTGAGGGTGTCGAGAGTAGCGAGAGGGAAGAGGGGTTCAATAAAGAGCAAAGGTACAAAGATATAGGCAAGAACTAGGGTAATGAGGTGCACCACCAAACTGGAAACATAACTACACTAACACTACAGACAGTTATATTAATATGAATAACATATTTCGACAAGATTCTGGTCGCGGAACAGATCCAGCGGACCCTTCACATGAGACACGTCCTGAGGTTCGGGAATAAGGAATTTGAAATTGAAAAATTGAGGTTCGGAAAATGGAGATTGAGGTTTGGGAAATCGGAAATTGGAGATTTCGAATTTCAGGCATGTCAAATCTCAATCTCAAATTTCCGAGGAATTCTAGGGTGCAGAAGGTTCTTCGAAGCAGAGGAGCACGCACCTTACGCCTTCCCCACACGCATGACGCGCTGTTCAATTGCCCAATTCGACGCATCATGCGTCTTCTCGGCGTTGCATCATGCGCACATCAAGCGATCGCCAGATTGCTAGGACGATAAATTTCTCAGAAAGTGGCAAAATGTAAATTTGTGGTTGCCAAAAAGACCGTTCTGCAGGCATTCGGGCTGTAATGAATATGCAATTCATTACTGTAGAGGCTGCTCCTAGCGAGGACAGCCCGAGCACTTTGCGTCAGGATGGCTCGGCCTACACTTTCGCACCGAGCCAATCCCGAGTCGCCCCGCACCAATCGCGACATTCCCGAGCCACGCACACCTAGAGGTTCTCGCCTAGCTGGTTTTCGCCCTATAAATACTCGCTTTCTTCATTTTGTGATCATTCTGTAACCACGTCTTCTTTATTAAGTCTTCCGCGCACTCTGTCTAGTAAAACTCATAACACGGGCATCTAGATGTGTACTAGATTTTGTTTCCGTATGAAATGTCAGGTCAACATGTGAAGACAAAGTCAACAGACCATTTAGAATGTTCTGATTTGTCGCTAGGTGCACTGTGTGGTTGTCAACATTAGGGGTGTTGGTCACATGCACAGTGGCGCTAAATGATAGCACTGTTGACGCAGCTCCCAATTGTCAGAACGTTGATTAACAGGGTGTATCGCTACCGCTAATGGACTCCGGGTCGCTAGAAGTCAGGCAGTCTTTCGAAGCAGCGGCGCGGAAGGCGCGGCGCCTACTCGTCAAATTCAAGGAGTGGGGGCGTGTGTCGTTAGTGGCCAGCATGCATTTTGTCGTGTGCAATATAGTATTGCCGCCGATGGGACTCCGATTCGCTACGTTCAGGCAGTCTGTTTCGAAGCAGTCGGCTTCATTTGCGCGTAAGGCACGGCGCCTTTCTTCCCCAACACCAGCCGCAAGGTCGATATTTCGCCGCATCTCGCCGTTCTCTCCACACGGTTCAATGCGCGCTCCACTAGTAGTATGACGAGCTTGGAGCCTCGAGTTGGTCCTGGCGCTGGGCAGGGGAGAAGACCTCTTGGGGGAATGTTGGGGAAAGGGAGGGAGGGAGAAGAGGAGGGGGAGGGGGAAGGAGGGCTGGAGTTGCCTTCAAGGCTTGTATCCACGGGCAGTCCGTCTCATAGTACTTAAGCCGCATTTGGGTCTCCCTTCCACATTCGCATTTGCTGGTTGCGAGTCACTACTCCTCTTTCCGAGTCAAGGGAGCCACCAGCGTCACCAGCGGCGTCACCAGACTTGTCAGCAGCATCAGTAGCATCAGGATCATGGGTTCTCGTGGCATCTTGCTCGCTGCACTGGTGGCTCTCCTCTCAGGTATTCTCTCACGCGCTCTCCAAACTTTGCAACTTCCTTGCTCTCCAAACTTGCAACTACCTTTCCTTGCTCTCCGAACTTGCATCTCTCCTCTACACTTATTGCTCTGCCTTTTTCCTTCTTGCCTCTCCTCCCCCTCCCCCCTTCCCCCCTCCTCCAACGCACCAACCTGTGCGCCCGTGGCGGAGGCCATCCGCCTGCAGGCCTGCCGGTGGGGCCAGGAAAGGGACCCAGCATGCAACTTCCTTGGTGGGTGCTCCAATGCTCCCTCTCCCTCCGCGTGCTACGCATGAAGCAGGCCTGCATTCCGAATTCTTGAGTGTTTTGTATCATCTGCGTTCAAAAATTCACTGCATGCCTGCATTTAGAGTGTCTGAATGCCTTCTGGTCTGCCTCGTTTCAAGGCTCTCAAGTCCAAATTTTCTTTCCTCGCTCCCCCCTGCTTGATCCTCACTTATGCTTGCGTGTTCTCCTCACGTGACTGCGTGTGCCCGTCATGTGGTCCCTTGTGTTCTCCACATGTCGCCTGCCTGCTCCAGACACGTGTGCGCTCCGCAACTGCGGCACCAACTCGAGGTGCCCCAAGGACGAGGCGGGCTGGGCCAACTGCGTGTGCCTCAAGGGCTTCCAGCTGCTGCCCAACGCCTCCTGCGCCCGTAAGTGCCGCCATTTTGCCTCCTGCGCCCGTAAGTGCCGCCATTTTGCCTCCACGCGTTGACTTCTGATCATTCTCCAATAGCAACTCTCATCCACCGGGCGTGCATTGCCCTGCATCTACCCCTCTGCGATCCCACTCCGCAGATTCGTGCGCGATTATGGTGTGCGACCCCAACTCCTCGTGCGTGAAGGAGGAGGACGGCCTCGCCATGTGTGTGTGCAATTGGGGATTCGCCATGACGCCCACCGGCTGCGTTGGTCAGTGCTGCCCTGCTCACTTTCCTTCTACCTTGCTGACTGTTGCTGCTGTGCTGCTTTCTCTACTCTCATCTGCTCTCGCAGCACCTGCTCTTCATGCCTTCCCTGTCTCTCGCGTCATTGGCCTCTCCCTCCCTGTTCTCTCCCTCTTCCACTCACCTGCTCGCATCACACGGCACGTGCAGACACGTGTGTGCTCAAGAACCGTGTGAACAGCACGTGCAGCAAGGGTGCTGCTGGCAATGCATCCTGTGCTTGCTACCCTGACTTCGCCTTGCATCCCGATGGTCACACGTGCAAAGGTACGCGCTGCACGGGCTTGAGTGCTACGGCCGTCAAAATCTGCTGCGTGCTGTGCTGTGCTGTGTTGTGTTCTGTGCTGTGTGCCGTGCTGTGGGCTGTGCTGTGTGCTTGGCTGTGCTGGTGCATGCTTCCATAGTGTTTGCTGCTATTATATTCTGCTGCCTATTTTTGATGATATTCCGTTCCTTGTTCAATGCTCTCCAACTCTCCTTGCAGACATCTGTGTGATCGCTGATTGCGAGGGCCATGATGCCAACTCTATTTGCTTCAAGGCTGGTGGTGTTGCATCATGTGTGTGCAAGACTGGATATGCCTTGAACGCAGGCGTCTGCACTGGTACGTTTGCTGGTACCATCTTGTGTGTGTAGGCGCACGTGCATTTCCTCCTGTGTCTGTGAGTGTCTGCACTTCCGTTGGCACTCAACCTACCTCTCCTTGACTCCCCTTCTCTCCTCTCCAACCCTCGTCTCTGCCTCTCTACCCCACCCCACTCCCCACCCAGACACCTGCGAGATTCAGAACTGTGGGGTGAATGGCCAGTGCGTCAAGGATGATACTGGAGTGGCGTCCTGTGTGTGTGATACGGGCTTTGCGTTGCAGGAGGATGGCAAGACGTGCATTGGTGGGTGCTGCATGTAGTGGTCTGTGCCGATGTGCCAAAGAGCTCGTTCGGTCTGAATGCTCTAGCTGTTGCTGCAGTGTGCACTATGTGCCCCTTCTAGCATGGGGCGGTAGTTCCACTTTCCACACAGTCTCCTCATGCCTCTCTTGACATCGCGCCTAAATCATTTTCTTCAATCCTCTCCGCCCCTCCCATCAGATGTGTGCGTCATCAAGAGCTGTGAGGGCTCTGACGCCAATTCCACTTGTGTCAAGGAGGGGAACCTTGCGACGTGTGTTTGCAAGACTGGATACGCCATGGCAGAGGGCCAATGCACTGGTGCGTTCGTCGTTGTGCTCATATAACCTTCACTTCATCCTCTCTGTGTGTGTGTGTGTGTGTGTGTGTGTGTGTTTGTTTGTTTGTTTACTCTGTCAAGCTTCCTCATGCTGACTCCTCTCCACCCTTGCTCCCTCTCTCCCCCATCCCTCCCCCACCTCTTCTCTCCCCCACCCCTTTCCCCACCCAAATACCTGTGAGATTCAGAACTGTGGAGAAAACGGCCAGTGCATTAAGGATGACATTACTGGAGCGGCACACTGCGAATGTGACATTGGCTTTGCGCTGCAGGAGGATGGCAGGACTTGCATTGGTACGTTCCATGTACCAAGTGTGTGCCTTCTGCCCACGATGCTATGTGCTTTTGTACCTCCTTTATCATATGCAAGTTGTATTTTCCGTTGGTGCTGCTAGTCTGTTCGAATCTTTTCATCTTCCTTACCTTTCTTCTTGTACATCACATTCACTCCTTTTCCCCTCCCATCAGATGTGTGCGTCATCAAGAACTGTGAGGGCTCTGACGCCAATTCCACTTGTGTCAAGGAGGGGAACCTTGCGACCTGTGTTTGCAAGACTGGATACGCCATGGCAGAGGGCCAATGCACTGGTGCGTTTGCGAGCTGCGTTTTGCTCATGTAGTGTGCTCTTCAATATGCGGAAGCATGCGTGTGTGTGTGTGTGTTTGTGTGTGTGTGTGTGTCTGTGTGTATGTGCTTGTGTGTGTGTGTGTATTCTGTCAAAACTTCCTCTTGTTGACTCCTCTCCATCCTTTCTCCCCCCTCTCTCTCTCGCCCCTCCCCACCCTTTCCCCCCCCCCCCCCCAACCCAGACACCTGCGAGATTCAGAACTGTGGGGTGAATGGCCAGTGCGTCAAGGATGATACTGGAGCGGCGTCCTGTGTGTGTGACACGGGCTTTGCGTTGCAGGAGGATGGCAAGACGTGCATTGGTATGGCCTCTGATGCTTTTGTGCCGCCTCTATCATGTGCAATGCAAGTGCTAGTTGCCATTGGTGCCACAAGTCCCTAGAGCCTTTGCACCATTGAGTTCGTGTTTCACATTCACTCCCTCTCCGCCCCTCCCATCAGATGTGTGCGTCATCAAGAACTGTGAGGGCTCTGACGCAAATTCCACTTGTGTCAAGGAGGGGAACCTTGCGACGTGTGTTTGCAAGACTGGATACGCCATGGCAGAGGGCCGATGCACTGGTACATTCTTCTGTTCTGCCTGTTCACGTAGCCTGTCACTGCCTGTGCGTTCGTGTCTGACCTTTTTTTCCTTCATTTTCTCCTACCACTGACTACTCTGTTGACTCCCCTCCACCCCTCATACAACATCCCATCCGCCCCTCTGCCCCTCCACCAATGCCCTCCCAGACACGTGCGAGGTGAAGGCGTGTGTGGGTGGCACGTGCAGCCAGGACAGCACCACTGGAGCGGCATCCTGCCATTGTGACGCCGACGCTGGATTGGTGCTGCTGGATGACGACAGGACGTGCAAAGGTAAGGGCCGGCAACTGTTGGTGCTGAGTATCCAAGGTTCTGCTGTGTTTTTATCGCTGTTGTGTACTGTTGTGCTGCAGCCATCTCCTTGTTTCCGAACTTTGTCATCTTTCTTGTTCGTTTCTGTTTCACCCTCCGTGCAGATGTGTGCATTATCAAGGACTGTGAGGGCAGTGATGCCAATTCCACGTGTGTCAAGAATGGCATCGATGCAACCTGTGTTTGCAAGACTGGATTTGAGCTGTTTGAGGGAAAATGCATTGGTATGCTTGCCTATCCCATTGTGTGTGCGTCCAACCATCCCTTCTTTTTGCCCATGTACCTGCTAGCTCAGGGTCCATTGTAGTGCATAAAACGCACTTAACATTTCCTGCTTTTTCTCTCCAGTGCTTGGCCTATGTGTGTGTCGCATTCGCATTTCTTATTTGCGTGTGTGCATGTGTGTGCTACTCCCCATTCTTTTGAGGCCACCTTCACTCCACCCCACCTTCAACGTCTCCTTCCATGACCTCCCAGACACATGCGAGGTGAAGGGGTGTGGTGTAAACGGCCAGTGCGCCAAGGACAGCACCAGTGGAGCGGCATCCTGTGTTTGTGATCTGGGTTTTGAGCTACAGGCTGATGGCACCACGTGCAAAGGTAGGTGCTCAGCATGGCGTGGGCTGAGTCTGAATTTGCGTCTGCTTAACCTTATTTATATCAGCTTTGTTTTGTTCCTACGAGTGTCATCCTCTTCACGTGTAACGTAACCCCTTTAAACCGGCCAATGTGTGCTCAAACTTAACCCTCAACCCACCTGGAACCCTTCTTTTCCAACGCGCTCCTCAGCCCTTTCCTCCAAACTCCCTCCCTCAGACAAGTGCGACATCCCGGGCTGCAGTGGTCCCAAAGAGTATTGCTTCAAAAACGGCACCACTGGCGAGGCATCCTGCAAGTGCGACGACTACTATCACAGGGGGCCTGAAGGCATTTGCCAGGGTGTGTGTCCTGTAGCAACTTCTTCACTCGATTGCCTTTTTTCTCTCCTCCTCTTAGCTCGTGCTTTTCTTCTCCCTTTCACCTCTTCGCACCAGCCAGACCTGCTGTAGATGTGAGACAGCATCTTGTGGGGAAGGAGGGGTAGGGAGGGAAGGGGCAGGGGGAAAAGGGGTTGGGGGGGGTTATTTTTTCCTCCAAATTGTGCATCAGCTTCTACTGTTTCCTCCTCCAACTCCAAATCCAGATTGGTGCCTCATCAGAAAGTGTGACACCAGCATCTCGACGTGCGTGAGGAGGATGGACGGAATAGCGTTCTGCATTTGCAACGCCGGTGTCCCGCTGAACAACCCGGGTTGCCTTGGTAAGGAACTTAATTTCAACTTACATATTCTCTGTGCCTGGGTCTAACAATCTCCTCCCTCTTCCTTCCATCCCCCCCAACTCTCTTTCGTTACCCTATCCCATTCGTTCTCTACCCCCTTCAGCTTGTTCCATGCATATTCATCCCCTTGTTCGTCCTCCCCCCCCTCCCCCAACAGGGAAGGTGCCCTCGGAGTAGCCGTGAGGCACATCCACCCCCACAATGGCACATCAACATCGCTCCCGTGACGGCACATTCTCAGCAGCCAGCCCTCTCATCCCATTGACCACCGCGTCATCCCGTTGACTACTCACGTTATCCCGTTGACCACTCGCGTCATCCCATCTGCCACTCGCGTCATCCCATCTGCCACTCGCGTCATTCCATCTGCCACTCGCGTCATCCCATCTGCCATTCGCGTCATCTCATCTGCCACTCGCGTCATCCCATCTGCCACTCGCATCATCCCATCTACCACTTGCGTCATCCTATCTGCCACTCGCGTCATCCCATCTGCCACTCGCGTCATCCCATCTGCCATTCGCGTCATCCATCAGCCACTCGCGTCATCCCATCTGCCACTCGCATCATCCCATCTGCCACTAGTGTCATCACATCTGCCACTCGCGTCATCCCACCAGACAGTCCCGACATCCCATCCCATCATCCCGTTAGCTAGTGTACCAGCTGTTTATTTGTGCCATGGTGGGGCAACAGGCTGAAGGCATGAACTGCGTGCATCAGAAACAATCCTGGTTGAATGCCTCTAGAATGGAGGGTGGAGAGGAGGCGTTTGACCCTTGTCTGGCCTTGCCTTACAACAGGGCAAGGTCTCCATGCACCAGGGTACAAGGCACCAGCTGTATTCACCGGGGCACACGACTTCTATTAGTGTAATCTGTTTGCTTTTGATTTGTCATGGTGTATGTTGGTTTGCCATGTAATTTGCTTTTGTTTGTTTTCTGTGGGGTCTGTTACAGCGGTTGGTTACATCTCAATAAGGGAATGTAACCCTTAGAATACATGGCTAGCTAGAATTGTCTAGTAATAGTATCTATAGTGGCTGTTTGCTTTGTATTTGTTCTATAGAATGACGTGCCTGATACGACTGGAAATCAATAGTAGCAATTGCTGCTTTCTTTTTTTCTTTATTTCCTTCTCTAATATCTTGCCATTTCTGGATTTTGAGAGAACCGCACATCGTACACGATCTCATCTCACGTATCGGCCTCTCACGTATCGCTAAGTTGGTTCCATGCCAATGCATTGAACAGGATCTCATCTCTACTCATAAGCTGCGAATGCTTTGAACCCCAGCTCTGTCATGTGAATTCTTTTTATAAGCATTTGCTGGAACTTGACATTATGAAGATCTAACGGTAAACTTTACGACAGCAGCGTTTCTTGTGAAGTCGACCTTTTATGTCTAGAATCATTGTCCAACGATTCTACATATTGGCCTTCTTATCCACCTAGACATTGTCCCTGATTCTAACACCGATCACCAGCTGCTGCTAACGCCGTGCACCAGCAGCCAAGGGAAGGGCGCAACATGCTGATACCACCAGCAGCAAACGGTTGGGTGTAAGCTGCAGCAACTCCGTGCCAGCAGCAGCACGTTGTGAGCCAGCGAGCCAAGTTGCAACAGCAGCGTGCTATCAGTAGCAGCAGCGCACAATCCACAGCAGCTGAGTCACGCGCCAGCCACTATGACGCATCACACAACAGCAGATCTGTGCCAGCCGCTGTGTCGCCACTGTCAACGGGAGCCGGATGTTGGCCCCGTCCTCGATTGGGCGGAGCCGACTTCGTAGTCGGGTGTGCGGGAAGTGCAGCCGACCAACTGCAGTGGGCGACA